AGGCAGAAAGTCCTCCCCAAGTGAGGCAGAAAGTGCTCCCCAAGTGAGGGAGAAAGTGCTCCCCAAGTGAGGCAGAAAGTCCTCCCCAAGTGAGATGGTCTCACTTGTACACAGCTGCTGTCTTCCTTTTTAGTGCCCTGCCAGAAAACTGGCGGGAGAATCTCAGGTGCCCATGAGAGTCAGAGCTCACATCTCTCTCTGGTCGCTTGTGGGTTTTGTGAAACTGCAGAGAGCATTGCAAAGCAGTGAGGGTTCGTGAGAGCATGCCTGTAGCCGATTCTCTCTTGTCCTCGGAAGGACAAAGCTTTGAGTCAAAGCCACCTGACATTGTTGACTGAGGGTCTTAAGTCAAACTTTAACAATTATTAATTGCTTAATAATGAACAATTATTTTGCCCACCATTTACACACCCTCTGTGGGGTTTAGGCTTCAGTTTGTATTTTGGGGGGTGCTTGCAGCAATCATGGTAGGGAATAAGGCAGATATTGAAGTAACCAGTTCTGCCAGGGAGAGACACCACAGAAGGCCACGTGGGGGATCGGTGGCTCTTGTTTTCCAGCTGCTGTGGTCTACGGTGCTGGGTCTGGGTCTGTGCATCACACATGCAGCGTGCAGAGTCCCACCCCGTCCTCTGCGTCTGCTGCCTGTGTTCCCACTGTGAAGTCCACAGGCTAGATGTGACTTTTAAGAACATACTTCACTGGGAAACTCATCAACAGCCTAGACTGGTCGCCCGGGACCTGGTGGGAAGGTGGCGGGGACAGAGGGATGCAGGCTTCGGAAATCCTTCCGCCAGTTCCCTCTTCTAAACTTACTCCCATGCCATCCCCGTTTTAACTTGCAAAGCTTCCCCCGGGCGCAGAGTTTCTGTCTCTGCAGGCAATGCTTGTATTTACTATTACTTTCTTTCCCTGCTGCCTGTTCAAATGAAACAAAGCCTTGGGCATCAACGCATGCCCCCGTTACCAGCTCATGACCAACACCGGGCTTCTGTGGGGCTGAAAGGCTGGCTTGTTTCCTTTTGTTTGTTTTAGTCATTTCTCCCGCACTGAAGTCTTTTTTAAAAGGTGAACAGACTGAGGTAAACAATCACAGAACCCCACAAGGCCCGAGCTGTCACTTGGTTTCTGGGACACTGAAAGAGCAAACAGCCCTAGGGTCAGTGTCTCTCCTGCTACGAGGCAGCCAGCCAGTGAACAAATACCCCTCAGAGATGCAGGTCGTCAGATCGGTCCTGGGGAAACCTGCTGGCACACCTTTCAGAAGCTGCGTTCGCTCCGCTGCAGTGTGGTGGTGGGCTTAGGTCTGGTGGGCGACTCTTGGATGTGAACAGTGGGGGATGAGACCAGGCAAGCTTGAAAAGAAGGCCCCAACCTCACGTGATCATCATTTCTCTGCTTCTGGCCTCATTTTAAAATCTGACCTCTTCCAATCCTGCCCTTCGAGGGCTCCACCCAGTCCACCTCACACAGCTGTACGACAGACCTAGACAAGTTGACTGTGTCTGTGATGGGACACTCTGCTGAGTGGCAGTGATGCATCTTTAAGGTGCAGCAGAAAGTAACTGTCCCAGAGGAAAGCCCAGGATCTGAAGTCTAGCTTGTCACCGAGATGCAGGATGTCCTGTGATCAGAATGGAGGCACAAAAGGACCCCCAGGAAGAAAGGGATGCCTGAAACCCATCATATACCCTGATGTCGTTTGCAGTGAGCACCATCCTATCTATCACGCATTTCCTGGGAGTATCTGCAGGCTAGGTGGGGCATCACTCAGACTTGCAAGTAACCCTCCGTGGGGAGGATCCAAGACTTTGCTTCAGAAAACCCACCTTGGGCCTGGGCAAGCTATGGTGAGAGGAGGTGTGGTAGGGATGGCAGCAGCAGGGCCCAGGGTCTCCCATTGTTTAGGTCCTTCACCCAGCTAATGGAAACACAAATGGCCCCGGGTGAAAAGTCTCAAATCGGGGCGAAGTCAGCCTGTGTCCACTGTGAGCACCTTGCCTTGCCTCCCTGCTCACTCACCCAACATCATCGAGTGCCCATCACACAGGGCGTGAACAGCTCGTGAGCCTCATCTCCTGTGGCTCCCAGGAGTCTGATGTCACTACGGGTCTTACTTTGACCTAGGGGTCAGGCCGGGCTGGTCCTCAGGTGGAGAGGGAAGGCAGGGACAGGTGGGAAGCAGCCCGTGGGTGTAGCCCTGTCTCACTCGGAAGCTCCCAGACAGTCATAGGAAGACTGGCCGCGGCTCCCTTAGGGAACATAAGCCTTCCCTGGGTTTCTACAGGGCAGAGCAATGGCACCCACCCGACCCTCATCCACATCCTCGGATCTGACGGTCACGGTCACGAGGGCGCTAGTGCTCTCTGGTGAACTTTCTAGTCACTGACTGTCTGTCAGAAGAAGGAGGAAAAGCCCCGGCGGTGTGTTGGAAGTCACAAGGTCTGAACCGAATGCAAAGCAGAGTCGGACCGCGCGGCTCAGCCAAACCCGTGCAGAGGGCTCAAAATGGCTGCTCAGGGGTCGCCCTGCAGCCTCACCTTGGGCTGGGGGACTTTATCCTCCAGATTCCCCGAAGGGTGCATGTGTGCCTTGGTTATCGGAGCAGACATCTGCTCTGGGTTTTCAGGTCAGTGCTGGTGTTAGCTTTGTAATGAGATCTGGGCAAAACGGGGGAAACGGCGGTTTGGCACGACCGAGCCCCCTCTACCTGGCCCCCACAAGCCCACACGGTCCGTTTGTCCCTCTTTCTTGGTGGGACTGTCTGAGGACGAGCAGTGACCCAAATACGTTAAGAGACCAGTTGAATACCACCGTGCTGGGGAGGGGGGCCACCCTCAGCCTGGGGAATGAGGAACCGGGAGAGACAGGTAAAACTTGTTTTTGATGATATTCAGATGCGATTTTCGTTCTTAGACACTAGATTCAGACTTAAAGGATTATAATTCTGGTTTATCAATTTCAGCCCACGTAATTGCATTACTTTCACATTCAAAACATTTACTAAGCATAGATAAGGGCCATATTTTTTAAAAACAAAACAAAACTGCTGTAGCATCTAAACACTTTCCTCTGATTGACACAGATACTGTTCACTTAGTGGCTCAGGCACCTTGCTCCTTCACCAGTGATGTTGGCTCCAACAAAGAAAGCAGCTGTACCTCCAGCCTCAGGAACCCGGGACACAAACCGGGACCCTAACCAAGGACCGCCTACAGGTGCGGAGCAACCCTTCATTTCTGGATAGAGGACTCTCCTCAGAGTGCTCTTCATCTCTTCCACAGAAGCAGGATGGGAAGTAAAGCCTGAACAATCCTTACAGAACCCCACAATGGACCATGGGGGGTCCCAGGGGCCCTCCCGCATGGGTAGACACACACATAAACAAGCACACGCCACAAAAGTAATGGCTACTCACTGACTCCATTTTCTCTGAGGGACAGAAAAAAATGCATGTTTTTTTTCCCCCAGACTTTAAGCCATTGAGAATGTTTTTATTTTTAAGAAAAGCCAAAATAACTTTTTGGGGGGTGAAACCAAACAGGAAGGGCATTCTCTCTCATTCCTATGACTAAAAGATAATTGCAAAAAAAAAAAAAAAAAAAAAAGTATTCGTTAACCTTCCCAGAAAATGCACCTTTAGCTAAAACCTTTAGCTAAAGTTAGACCTGGGATCTAAGAGGATAGCGATTTAGGTAAGCAGAACTAGAAACACCTAAAGGTGAAGGCAATTCTTAAATAACTACTTCTGAGAAGTGCCTTGTGTGTGCCGCCTTGAACTTTTACAATATAATGATTCTCGGAACAAGAGAAGCCTGTAATGATGGTGGTTGAAACTCTTAGTATACACACATTTCCGTTGCCTTAACTTTCATTTCCAGGGGGTATGATGCATGTATTTGCCACTCTGTTCTCGGTGAGTTGTAGGGTGAAAAGCTCTCGCTGTTTCTACGTGCTGCGTATACAGACTCGGTTTTTACATGAAGTACTGCACTAGATAGGAGCTAGGGACACAAATGCCATCGGGATGAGGGGCCAGAGAGTAGGAAGTGGGAGGGAGAAAGGGATGTTTTTATCCCACCATCAGCATACCGGAGCCATCCAGGGTTGGCTCGGGTTTGTGCTCTTAGAATTTTTAGATTTCTTGAGAAGGCACAGCCTCCTACAGCAGTGGTTCTCAGCTCATAAGTTGAGACCCCTTCAGGGTTGCAGATCAGATATTTACATTACGATTCATAAGAGCAGTAGAAATACAGTTATGAAGTAGCAACACAATGATTTTATGGTTGGGGGGGTCACCACAACATGAGGAACTGTATTAAAGGGTCGAGGTATTAGGATGGGGATCTCCTTCACAAGTGTACCCTTTGATCAGCCATCATCCTGTGCCCAGCGGTCTGCATGCCCACAACTGCCCACTGACAGCGGCCCAGCCCTCCAGGGCCCAGGGCCGTGTCTGTGATCCAGGCAGAGGACACAGGTTTTCAGCATGTGTGTCATGACCACTTCCACTTGGAAAATGCACACTCTCAGCATGTCTGAATGTGGTCCATGCTTCTGGTTTTCTCAAAGATGCTTTGGGAAGCAGTGGAAACAGCGCGGCTTCTCAAGTTTCATTAAAAAGCAAGCACTCGTCTTACCTCAGCGGCCTGCGTCTATCTCAGCCTCCACTTATTTTTATCTTTTAATCATAACGAGCCACCGCCACGGGGCTTGCTATTTCTGGAGGGAGAGAGTGGGACAGCGGAGTGAGTGACAACAAGTCACAGTTTTAATAAAACATGACCCTCCACCTGGAGTGGGGCTGGTGCTGCCGGGCGCTGCCGCTACGCAGGACTGTCAGCCGTGAAGACGGAATGATTTTCCTACCGTAGGTAGCCTGCTTCCCTATTTAGCCTGAAAACTCCCGAGCACGCAGACAGCCGTGTGGAAACTCCAGCGGGGTTGGCCACGTGGCGGGAGATTCCACAGGCCTGGCCATCCAGTTGATGCAGGCTGGAGAATGTTTCCATATCATCTGCTCTGCTGTTTTATCTGTGCCAAACTCCATTCAGCAATTACTCACCAGGACCATTAAACCACCAACAAGTATTTTTTTTTTCTTTCCAGGGCTTTCCTTGTGTTGTTAGAAAATGTAAAACATATCTCCCCAAACTATGAAATTACCATTCAACAGAATTAACGGAATTGAGAAACGAAAACAAAAAGTTTAAGTGAAAATAAAAGCAATGGACCCGAAGGAGAGTGACCAGCATGAGTTCCCACTTTGTCGTTCTCGCACTGTTCTGGCTGGTTCCGCATGGGACCAGGGTCTCTGGGACAAAGACAATGGCAGCCCCTCCTTCCCTCAACACAGAGGAAGAAACAGGGATTCACATGTGGCTGTTTGACATACGACATGTGAGAAACTCAAGGAACCACATCAAGATGCAGAAGCCACCCTCCAGCAGCCTGGTTTCCACCTGGAGCTTGGGGAGACCCCGGCTGAGTGTCCCCAGCAGCAGCAGGTGTGAGTCACCAGGTGCTGCTCGTTCAGCAAAACAGACAGCTCAAAGCTGCCTGGCTCCTATGCTTCTGGGAGGTGGGACCTGCTTCATTTAACCTTGAACCAGAACCTCACATTACCTAAGAGGCATCCAGTAAGTCTGTCAGGTGTGACCATTGCATCTCGTGTAAGGAAACAGCCACTAATAAAAAGGTACAGAGAGAAAGAGGTCAGGATCTGGTGTTTGAACAACCCAGCAGCCTTGGCATTTGGCAGGGCAGACGAAGTGGGTGTGAACGTGAGGGAACCCGCCCTACTTGTCATATGCTTGTTGGGAACACTCACATTTGAAGACTAGCATCTCTCCGAGAAGGCCCTGGAGCACTAGGAAGATGTCAGGAGTGTGGGTGCCACACAAGCATGAGGACTTGAGTTCAGATCCCCAGAACCCACAGAAAAAGCCATGTGCTGGGGTGTGCGCTTGTAACCCCAGAGCTGAAGATGTGGAGTCAGAGACAGGATGCCTGGGGTCCACTGGCCAGCCAGATTAGCCCACTCAGAAAGTCCTAGGCCAGTGAGAGACTCTGTCTCAAGGACAAAGTGCTAGCTCCTGAGAAATGACACCAAAGATTGACTTCTGACACACCACACTACACACACACACACACACACACACACACACACACACACACACACACGAAACCCAGGGAGGAAGACTCCACGATGGTCCAGGTTCTAAAGCAGCACACACCTACCTCTCAATCTATCTTCTGATGTAACTGACCCCTGTCCCCAGGAGCAGTGAAGGCCATGTGGGCACCACGCCCACAACCTTCTAGGACCTGGCACCACCTTGACATCCCCAGCCTTCATGAGCCTCAGGTCCCCCACTCCTTCTGGAGCCCAGCTGGTCATAGTGAGCACAGCCTGAGGCTGGGGGACTAGGACTCCGTGTTCCTTCCATGCATCCTATGAGCCTGGGGGGAATCAGAACACTCACGGGCTCTGGCTGATACCTGTCACAGCAGCGTCCACAGAGGGGACCAGGAGAGCCTGAGGCCATGTCTTCTCCTGTGGCTCAGTAGGATGGCCTACACACGTTTCTCCTCTGCTGCTCTGCTGAAGACCAAGTATACATCCCTCAGGAAGTCACATTTTCCTCATCTTCAAAATGCCCCAAATATTGTCCAGATTCCAAGAAGCTATTATGAATTTGTTTTATTTTTCCTTTACTTTTATTTTATGTGTTTGAGTGTTTTGCCTGCATGTATGTCTCTGTACCACGTGCATGTAGTGCCTACAGAAGCCAGAAGAAGGTATCAGATCCCCTGGGACTGGTGTCACATACAGATGTGAGTGGCCATGTAGGTGTTGGGGATCCAGAGGAGCAGCTAATGCTCTTAACCACTGAGCCATCTTTCCGGCCCCATGAATTTGTTTCTTAAAAACTGAAATCATGATGCTAAAAGTGATATTATGGCTGAGGTTTTGGGATACTTAATGATCCTCGGGTATCCGGTAGCAGATGGTATTAGGGAAGGAGAGATGTCGTGAGTGGGAACGCAGAGAGAGCGGCTGAAGAGGCTGCATGCTCCCCCAGGGGTCTGAATCCTGTTACAGAGGCCAAGCTGAGCAGGGTGTTGCTCTCGACCCTCCTGTCCCACAGTTTCAGAGCCGGGCACACACACTGACGGTAGGTGGTTCCAGGCCCTGGGGAGTTCACCCGCTGAGCACGGGTCACCTCGGCAGCAGCTGGGCCTGATGGCTCCGAGTCTGTGGGAGTTGACATGGCTTGCCCGGACCTTCCTCAGGTACTGAAAAGGGAGTTCAAATGGCGCTCATGTAGCTCTCATCTTTGGTAAACAATATGGCTTTTACGGGACTGTTTTTTGGCTGTTACCGCTGTAACTCACGCCTCTTAGGCAAACAGCCCTGTGAAGCCATGCAGCCAAGAGGCACAGGATGGGTGGGCTCCTCTCGCGAGTCCACAGTAAGGGCCCTGAATTCATAGGAGGCTGCCGTTTAATTGGACTCGGTTGCCATCTGATTCCACGTTTACTGGGATGGAGAGTGTGACCCTCTTTCTCAAGTCTTCTCAGTGCCAGGAAAACAGGCACGCACCACTAAACTGTCTATTTGTTTTCATAAAGTAACTGGAGGAGGAGTCTCATTATTCTTATTACGTAGCACTGGGTAGACTGCAACTAGCTATGCAGACCAGGCTGGCCTTGAACTCACAGAGACCCATCTGCTGCTGCCTCCTAAGTGCTGGGATTAAAGTTGTGCACATTTTCTCCAGCCTGTGACTCTATCATCTTGCCATACATTTTGCCTCCCAGGGCCTTGGGTTCAATCTCAGCCGAAGTCCAGATGGCGGTGGTGGTACCCTGGCTTTGCCTTCTTACCTTCCCATTCACCCTGAGTGGCATCAGCCTTTGCTCTCTCCATTACTGACGTCTACATCCTCTTAACGCTAAGCTGTGGCTGGCCAGTCTGAAGATGTAGAAGTTCCTGACTGAGAGGATTTGCCATACCAAGAGGCCTGCCAGCTCCAGGCTCCCTGTCTGTTTCACCACTGGGTACAGTGGAGATGGTTCCTCTTCTCTGGCCGTGACTCTCACAGCCTGCCTCCTCTCCTTCACCCTGACTAGTGGGTCTGCTGACCCCATTGCAGCGTCCAGGGATACACCAAGCCAGCTCTTCTCCCTGAGATGAGTTAGGATACAATGCTTTGCCAGGGCATCCCTCCTACATCAACTCCCACCAAGGCTGTCCACTCCTGGGTCACAGTCAGGCATGTCAGAATAGAACTCTGAGCTCCCACAGCCCTGGCCAACTCTGCAGGCTGCCCTCTGCCTCCTGAATGCAGGACACTTCTCTCCATGTGGAACTTCCACTTGGAATCTTCCACCCAGGACACTCATGTCCACACTTCCTTATGTCCACTACCTTCCCGACCATCCACAAAAGGCTACTTAACCTATCCCCTCTGTTCTCACAGCTCCTGTGATAGGACACCTCAGGGATCTTGTGTGCCCCCTCCCCACCCAACTGAAGCCACTTTGAAGGCGAGTCTGACCTGCCATCCACTGCTGGCAAAGTGACCAGTCACAGACCCTGGTTCACTGTTCTGAGATCTGCACAGGAAACAGAGATTCCTAACGTGGAAATTAAGGAGAGGGAAGAGGGAGTCAGAAACATGCAGGCAAATGAGACGCTGTGATCTTGAGCATATATTGACCCTGGAGTGAAAAAAAAAAACCCAAGATTGAATTTTTGTATTGATTATCCAATTATTAATCTTTATGGAGGCTATTCCAACATTGCACATAATGAGCAATTCATCAAAGTATATTAGATGCCATGGAAGTTGCATTCAGTATAAAGGGCCATTAAGTTCTTTGTAATTGCACATTACTGGAGCTTTCCTCAGACCTAAATCAAATCAACAGGACTGGTGTGCACCTGCTCTAATTGACTTTGTGTGCTAACGCACGCCACTAGCGTGAGGCCTGACACCAGACCTCACTGCAGGACCCTGGCTCCCAAAGACCACGGGTCTCAAGGATCACCCCACACTCACCCGGAGCATGGTTTCCAGGGACCTAGGTGGGAGTGTGTAACACCTTAGCAGCCCGGCTGGGAGAGGGGCCGCTCCTCAGAGCTCCACCTTCATCACAAGCCCTACTCCCGTGCCAACAGAGAGTTGGGGTCTTCTGGGAAGCCCACCCACTCATCTAACATGCCTGTTTGGTTGCGATCTCAGATCCTTCGCATCCAAAGCAGGAGCCTGAACCTAATCCTGACTCGTGGGGACAATGAGCACTGTCCTCCCTGTCACCCATTGTTACGATTTCGGATGCTGAACTTCTCCTTGTTTAAAATATTCTCACCACATCCACCCAGTTTTCTGAGGGGTCAGAGATCCGATACTTTCATAGACCTGCAATGGTAGAGACAAAGAGGCTTAGGAATATTGTGTACGCACACACATGTGGACATGTGGACACACACACATGTGGAGGCCAGACGACAGTCTCAGTTGTCATTCCTGAATGCCATCAACTTATTTTGAGACAGAAACAAGACAGGAAAACTAGGCTGGCTGGCTAGTGAGCTCCGGGCATCTGTCTGTTTACCTCCCTAGTGCTGGAATTACAAGGATCTCTGTGAGCCTCGGTGTTATGTGGGCACTGGGGAATGGACTTGGAGCCTCTTGGTGAGCACTTGAATGGCTGATCTAGCTCCCAAGACTGGATTCTGGTTTTCTAACTGATAGGTAATAACTGCACCTGTCTGTGGGACACTCTGCACCGGGCTGGAGTGTGGGCACCACTGCAGGGGTGAAGTGTGGGCACCACTGCAGGGGTGAAGTGTGGGACACTCTGCACCAGGGCTGGAGTGTGGGCA